CGTAAATATCTTGCAATGCTGACTACAACAGTGCCATGAGAACGCCTGTTCTCACTTTCAGGTGACATTGTAAATAAGAAGTGGGCAGCATTATCTCCTCCAAATGTAAACAAACTTGTTTGTCTGAGCAATTGGCTGAACAAGAAGTGGGACTGAGTGGACTTGCAGGCTCTAAAATTTTACATTGTTTTATTTATTTAATGCAGTTTTTTTTTTTACATAATTCTACATCTGTAAGTTCAACTTTCATGATAAAGAGACTGCACTACAGTACTTGTATTAGGAGAATTGAAAAATACTATTTCTTTTGTTTTTTTACAGTGCAAATACTTGCAATCAAAAATAAATATAAAGTGAACACTGTACACTTTGTATTGTGTTGTAATTGAAATCAATATATTTGAAAATGTAGAAAACATCCAAAAATATTTAAATAAATGGTATTCAATTCTTGTTTAACAGTGCGATTAATCGCAATTAATTTTTTTTAATCGCTTGACAGCCCTGGAGAACACACATATACTAGTAGGCTACAATACCAGCCTCCCAATCAGAAAAAGGCTATTAAATGCACAGTGGAGAGAGATCAATTGGACAATTAAGTCATAAAACAGTAATAATGGGTGACTATCCACAACCAGGCAAGGATCAGACAATCAATTTTGACTCCTTAACTAACTGCTTCTTGGAACAGCAAGTTCTAGATCACACAAAAGGAGATCTCTAACCTGGTCCTAAATATATTACACAGGAGTTGGTTGAAATATTAGTTATAGTTCAGTCATTAAGCAACAGCGACCACCATATAATTAAATTCAACAGCCTGTGGGAGAGACTGCACTAGAACTAGGAGTGTTATTAAAATGAGGGAGCTACTTAAAGAAACAATATAAAAAGTGCGGAAATTAAGCTATGTAAATGTACCATAGCAGAGTCAGAGAAAGTATGTATACCCTCAACAAAAAAGGAAGCAGAAAGGCAAGAAATAAGGCAATATGATTAAATGGCAAGGTTCAAGAGGTTACTTGAGCCAAGTCAATAGTGCAGAACAAATTGTGGCAGGTAAAATGTAAGATCGAAATTATGGTGGGTAAGTGGGAATTTGAAAAATAGCTACATAACTTAAAAACAAAAAAGGAGAAATTATCAGAAGCAGGAAGACTGCAAGAAAATTGGTGGGTCCACTGGACTACTAGGAAGTAAAGGGAGAAAATGAGGGCAAGCACACTACAGAGAAGCCAAATGATTTGTCTTCACCACAGAGGGCACCTTTGGTGTGGTTCCCTTTCACTGGGGTTCCAAATATACTCACAGACTCTGCTGGGCTCCCTGGGCTTGGCTCGTCCCCAATATCCTTCTTGTTACATGGTTCCAAGAGTGCAGGCTCCAGACGAGAAATCACGTGCCTGGGGCGGCACATTGTAAGGGGCGGCATTCTGGCCAATCTTGGGGCGGCACATTCCGGCCGCCCTGCCGTGGGTTTTTTTTTTTTTTTTGCGCTTTGGCAGCCCGGTCCGCAGCTCTAGAGCCCCCGGCCGGCTCCCCGCGCTCCGCCAGTCCCAGCCCAGCCCTGCAGGGGCATGGACCCCGGCCGGGGGGGCAGGAACTAGTGATTCCCGCTGCTCACTGTGCCGCCAGGCTCCCCGGGACGCACCACTCCCTGCTGCCTGCACTGGCCTCAGCCTCCCGCACCGCTCTGAGCCCGGCCTGGCCGAGCCGCCTTTAAAGGAGTGGCTGAGCCAGCACCTCCTGCAGCCCCCGGGGGCTCTGCCTGCCCAGCCGGGAGAGGCAAGCCCCTCTTGCCCGGCTGCGAGCAGGCTGCCCACAGGCGGAGGGAGCGGGCGGGTGCCGCCCGTCACCCCCCTGCGAGCCGCCTTGACCGCCCTCCACGCGCTCTCTGAGGCTGCCGGTTTTTTTGTTTGTTTCTTTGTTTGTTGTTGTTTTTTGCTTGGGACGGCAAAAAAGCTAGAGCCGGCCCTGTGTTTACCTCAACTCTTAATGCAACTGCAATTGACAGGAAGCAGCAATAAAGAACAAAGTCTGAAAAATTTTGACACTTTCCAGTCTCTTCCTCTCCTTGTTGAGACATCCATAGCTCAGAAAAACAAGAAAGGCAGACCTCCCCAAAACAGGGGTGAGGGCACAAGAGTACCCAAACAAACCCCATTAACAAATCCCAGGACAAATCTGGAAACAAATCCCATTAACAAATCCCAGAACAAATTTGGAGAGGACATTCCCCATTGAAAAAAGCAACCATTTTCCTATTTCTTTATCATCAATTTACTCTAATTTAGAATTACCAATCCTCTCTGCATCCCCATAGAAAACAAGGAAGCAGTTTGCACAGAAATTGTGACTTGCTTACAAAACCACTTCAGTGTAATACTTCCATGATAGTCCTGATGTAAAGTTTGATTCATGTCAACAGAGAACTAATGGAAACAAAAGTTACTCAACATGTTAACTGCATGTAGATTTATTTATTTTATGATTTGGGGTCAAATCTTGAGGCTCTTTATCAGCTTTTACTTAGTCTTTTATCAAGGAAAATTGACACTGAAATTAGTGGAGTTCTTCCTTATGAAGCACTAAAGAAAAACTGAGGATCTTATCCTTGTAGAATACCGTATATGGCACCTCCGAAGTGAGGGCATTGAGGTAATGGCTACAGGGAAAGCAACTTCCCACGACAGATGGAAGATGAAACAAGAAGCCATAGGCTCAAAGGGCAGGCCCATGAGAGGACCAGGTTGAGGTCCCACTGGGGAACCAGGTCCCAGACCAGCAAGAAGAGCCTTTTAAGGCCCTTTAGGAACCTCATCGACATCTCATGTGAGAACAGTGATTGACCTGGACGCACAGGTGGAAAGCCAATATGGCTGCCAAGTGCTTTAGGTGGAGCAGGTAATTCAGGATGGACTGCAGACAGAAAATTGCAAATGTGGGCATAAGGAGGCCATTCTAAGGTGACATTCTGACCTCATTCCTTGACTTCCAAGTTAGTGTGACTGGTTTATCACTGAGTAAGTCATTAACTCATATTTATTATTGAAAGTGTTACTGACTGGTGGAGAAGCAGCATAACATTCCACCATATGGCAGTGCACAAGGAGAAGTGCAACTCCAAGATTCCAACCATCTGAGCTTGCCGAGGCTGAAAGTTTTCTGATGAGGGAGTGACTTGTCTGAGAAGATTACTTAGCTAACATTTGGGGTGCTGTACAGAATCACTCTAGGGAGAGGAAGTTGCTACACAATTATTCCAGAAGGGGTAGGGACAAAACATGCTGAGGACTATGGGGGTTTGTAGAAAAAACAACCACCACCAAACAAGGAGACAGAAAGTACAGACTTTTGCTATCTGGCAGATGTAATTTGCATAGGACACTGGAAGGTTTAATGTTAGCAACATTTAATGTTAGCAACAGTTGCTCAAATAGAGCTTTGAACTACGAGGGAATGAAGTCTTCAAGTCACTTGGCCAGATATGCAATAGGAAGTAATACTGTTACTCTCCCTCCTGTCCAGTGTCTCACTTACAGAAACCAAGCAGTGACTTTCTTCTCCAGCCATCTCAGACTCCTTAGGAAAGGTCTGTCTGATTAACCACAGTTGGCGTAGTGAAAAGAGAGGTGAGAGAAAACACATTTTGTGGGCTTTTCCTATCTTTTGACCTTTCAAGTTCCTTCTGTACTAAACATAAATAGAAGATTTCTAAGCTATATACAGTCAGCCCAAATTCTGCTCCCAGGCACTCATACAACCATATACTACAATGGGATTACATGCAACCAAAGGCAGAATTTAACCCTGCATCTGCTGCTTTCACCTTGTTCTTCGTACACTTCTCCCTGAAAATCTCCCTTGTAAGCATAGTTCGCTTTTTTTTTTTTATAGCAATGAATATGCAGTGGGTCCCACTGTACTATTGCCAGCATACAATGCTGGGGAACTTGGGTCAGTGATAATAGTTTCTGTTCTTGCAATGGGTTCTCTTAGCAACATGCCACCACAAAGAGTCCCTGTGAAATAGGATGGAATGGAGGTGGTGGGGAACCACCCCTGCTTTTTCCTGGACTGACAAGTGGCAACTAGGGCATTTGGCTTTTTGTTTCTTAGGGTTAGATCAGTACAGTCTTTACCTGGGCTTTATCAAGAGGCACTTCCCTTTGCTTGCTTTGCTTCTCCATGAGTCTCTCTCTCCTAACAGAAAGAGACAGGAGGCAGGCCACTGCTACACCTAGGTAACAGAGGCTGACAGGGACAGTGTGCATAGCTTTATTTCCCCAACAGGAGATTCTCAGCAGGAGCCTGGCAAACAATAGATCTGAAATCTGATTTTCGTCACTTTTTTGGGGGTGGTGGGGGGTAGCAAAAGGAAATAGAAAACTAGGTAAAGGTTGCCCCAGAGCTTACTGGCCTGGAGTCATAAGGAACTGTTTTGATACAGCTCCAGCCCTCTCACTCACTGCCTCGCCTCTCTATGTGAAGCACACTGTTTCTGTCTTCCAGTAGCAGTATTTATAATCAAGTTAGATTGCATTCACACGTCCATCAACAGAAGGGAGTGAGGGTCATAATTACAGACTCTTAGGATAGGTACAGCATCAGCAAGATATTCTCTCAGTTACCAACTGATGCTTTATTAATAAAACTTGCATATACAAATGTCTATGAAATGTCTTAACAGGATCAATTGTGACAGCTAAAGATAATGGTTGCCATCATGCTATGCTGTGTCAAATTACTGCATAGAGATGTTGATTTTTTCTACATTGTTAACTTAAGTACATTGACTACAAATAATTAGATTTATCATCAGAGGAACCCGAAGTGCAAGAATATTTTGCACCATTTCTCCAGAAGTGCAGTGACTTTTTGAGGACCAGATAGGAAAATAATTCTGAACAGCTGGAAAATATAATTGCAATATAACAAAGCAAAGGCCAACATTGTTTCTCAGAGCTAACCAATAGCCAGACCACAGCCAGACTTACCTTAAGATACAGAAGCAACTTTTGGCCCCAGAAGATAAGCGACAGAATCCAAATCTCTGTTTGCTGTCAATGTCTGTGAGCACAAATGTAAAGTTCTGGCCAACTTGGCTGACTGTAAGGCTAGAAATAAAGAGAACAAAAGGAAAAATTAATTTCAGCTTATTCAATGTTAGAAGTATCTAATCAGACTAAGTCATTGAACCTCATTTCCTCTCTCTGCAGAGCTTCTTTGGAAATTAACTTTGAGCATTCACCCTCTTTACAAATGCAAGTTTGAATCCATCTCTTGGGTTTTTTGGAGATGTAGAACAGCAGTGGAAGAATTTCCTATGTCTTTAAAACAAACACTGACATGGCCGTTGATTAGATTCAATACAATACACAGTGCCAACTAAACCCACATGCAAAACATTTCTATATCATTCTTCATCCAACGGATTGTTTTACTTTAAATGCAAATAGTATTTGGTGACATTACGGCTTTGTATAGTATACTGATAGAGAAATACAAAATTAGTCAGTTTTCCAAATAGGCTGGGAATGAGCACAGCACTATCCCTCTAAAATTTATGGCTTATGAAGGCCTCACAGATGATTTCCCCCATTTGTCTATGCAACTATGCAATTTCCACTAAAAGGCAGTATTGGCTAAAGTGGGAAACTAAGAGCAGCACAGTAAGATAAAAGTAAATAAAACTTCTGTAACAAAGTCAGTATCTTATTTTGATTGTCTGCCTCAAAATGTGAAAATCTTTAAATATACCTCCACAGCTGGTACTGTGGCTAAGCAGATGCTGAACTGATGCTAGTGCACCACTACAGTGACTTTTAAACCCCTATAGTGATTATAATATAGTTTGTATCTGATTTTCAAGATTATAATCCAATTCCACTCTACTGTAAAGTGCTTATTTGCCTCTTCTAAAAGAGTGCAAACAATGCAACAACATTGTTTAAAGATGATGGCTCCCTGCTACGCCAGAGTGGAAAGCACCACTATAGGAATATCCACTCATACTTGCAAAATATAGCTTTTCATTGTATTAGAACACAGAAAAAAGCAATGCACCAAAAAGATAGAAGTAGGATGCAGAAGTATTATTTTTAACACTATAAATCATGAAGGATATTACTGCTAGCAGTTTGAGGTCTAAAACATATTTCTAAAAAAATAACAGCTCTCTCTATATTGCATATAACATAGAAACTTTTTTTAAAAAAAGGCATATTTCCAAAGTGAAATGCATAAAACATTTCACTTAGGGAGATATCTGATTTCTTTAAACATTATCACATTTCTGTCTAAATGTCACCTAATACAGAAATGCATAGATACCATGCTGGTAGGGGATATAAAAACCCTAAAATTAACAGACAGCAGGGCTGATTCACCATCATGTCATCCCAGTTTTGCATTGTGTAACTCCATTGCTTAAAATAAAACTGGAGTAATACAGTGTTGAAACCAGGACCAATATCTTTATTGGAGGCTTTATTTAATTCAGATTAGGGATTCATTTGAGAACTAGTGTTTGTATGAATTAGATTTTAATACAACTAAAATTAACTATAAAATATTTACTGTTCAAATTACACTCCAGCTTAAAGCATACGATAAACACTGACAACTGAATAGCATTTGCACATGAAGCTATGAAGTATATTAACTCCATCTTGATGATCAAAGGGGAATACAAGGAAAATTACTGTTAAGTTCAGGCTCACTCAACAAATATAGTTACAGACAGAAATATCCTACTCTAAACTAGACAGAAATATCCTACTCTAAAAGACTATTCTGAAATCTATAGCACTATCTACAATGCCATCAATGAATGTGTATGTGATCTTGTACATTCACACAGTGCCCAATGAAAACCAAAAATGAGATGGACTTTCAATAAAAAAAGAGGCTTAGGATATAGGACAATAAATTCTACTATCCAATTTAAAAGGGAAAAACCTCTCAGTGGAGTCAAAAGGAGGAATGAAAAAATGCTGAAGGGATGATAACATGAAGCACCAAGACAGACACATACTGTACTTCTCCAAATGTGAAGGTGAACAAAGACTCAAATTCAAAAGCAATTTAACAGCCTGAGAATTAAGTAGTGCAAGTATCACTATCCTACCCCTCACGCTAACGTCCAAGAGAATGTTCCTATAAACCTCAAAGAACTACCGGGGACTACCACAAGCTCCATTCTTATTGGTGTTATGTTTTATCTGTAAGGTTTGGGTATAATGTTACTACAGTGATTTAATACTATGTTTTAAAAGAGGATTATATGCTTAATTTTAACAAGTTTGAGAGCCAAGGTATGTGAGAAATAGAATCTAAACTCACAGTTAAAATTATGGAAAAGAGAGGAAGCAGTCCTCATCTACGAAAGGGAGGAGCTTGTTTATTAAAAGACAAGTTAGCAGAGAAAGCATAGGTAATAAGATTAAGCATCATGGGGCACTATCTTTTTAATCAAACTTTGATTTAGATAATGCTTGGTGAATGGGCATGTTATTTGTATTTCAGTAGTGTGCAAAGAAACCATTTTGGAACATGGGATCATATGTCTTTTTTTAAATGTGTATATTTAAACTATCACTTTGGTATTCACAAGCCATGTGCCAATGATTACTGAACATTTTACCTCCCTCATTATCTCTTTTTAGATTATAGACTGCTGAGGATGTGAGGGAGATTCCCAAACCTGAGCCATTCTTTTTAGGTGATTTAGGTGACAAATCTGAGGAACTGTCCCACATTGAGGTGTCATTAAAGGAGGTTTTGGAACAAATTGATAAACTAAACAGTAATAAGTCACCAGAACCAGATCGTAATCCCCCAAGAGATCTGAAGTAACTCAAATGTGAAACTGCAGAACTACTAACTGTAGTCTGTAACCTATCATTTAAATCAGCTTCTGTACCAAATGATGTTATATGGAAAAGGGCCTGTTTAATAGCTCCTGAGACAAAGCACCACAATCTCCCCTCTCCACCTGCTTAGGTGTAAATTCTAAAAAGATTTTTTCAAGTAACCACAGACAGATGTATCCCTGATTCTAGAGAGCAGGTTCAGACTGATCCAAGTTTAACGGGACTGGGCATGACCATCTCCAGCAGTTGTAGAATAGCCATCTGCTTGGACATAGAAGAAGAGGTATTAGTATTATGCATTTTCCCACCTTTACATTTCACCCAAGCATTTACAAGGAAGTAATTTAGATATTTCACCCTAGCATTTACAGGGAAGTAATTTAACCCCAAGGGACAGATAACGGCATGGTGCCTTTTGGCCATTTTTCTTTTATGGAAGATTTTCCTTTTAAAAACACCATTATGACCTCTGGGGGGAAAAACACATTTTAGTGGTTTCTCCCTCATTTGAGATATATCCTGTCTCTGTCATCCTGGTTTAATGCTCACTTCTGAGGTCCATTTGACAAGCAATTCAATCTGCCTGCCAGAATATTCTTCTTCTGTGCACTGAAGTTTTCCTAACCTGGCAAGATTGAATCAGCTCCTCTTCCTACTTGCTGCAAGATACAGTGTTATTGAATTTGTCCATTAGGATCATTACGTTTCCTTGACTTCAGATGTGTTCTCAGCTACAGTGTGGATAATATTGAATATTATCTATGCTATGAGTGTAATTTAGACATTATCAAATTAGATTGCACATCTCAAAGTCAGTGCAACTCAAAATGAACATTTCCAGCAGAAAGCTCTTGAGACTTCATGGCCTATAACCAATAACGTTTGCCTCACTCTTATTGTATGTATGAAAAAAAGGCTATTAATGTTGAGTTTGGTGGTTCCAAAGTTATTCATATTCTTACAGATTCATGCTTGCAGTATAACTACGCTGCGCTATTTTCTTCCTTTCCAGAGGCACTTCACAAAGTTTTGAAGATGCTTCAAATTACTCAGTAGAAAATGGATGCTCCAATATGAAGTGTGTTAGTGGCAATGATGCAAATTTAGATGCCTCAATGTGTACTAAAGCCTTCAGCACACAAAATAAGGCAGTTTTACAATTAGATGTTCATGATATACACTTCAAAGGCTTATGATTAGCTTTAAAGTCTCAATGAATTATTTGTCATCATCCTGAAGATGTGCTCTGTAAGAAGTTTGAACACTCCTTTAGTTTTTGATACCCAGTTGTCTGAAATTGCTATACTTAAATCAAAAGGACTTTGGAGAGACACAGATGTTGCCGTTAGCAACTCCTTGACTTCTATTTGTGGAAGAGGTAATACCAATAATAAACGCATAGTTGGAAGAACAGGACATCTGAAATGTTCCTGCTGTCGAGACACATTCTCTAAACAGGAGTAGTAGTACGAATCTAGAGGAAAAATTTGCTGGAACATGCAAGTGTCTCATTCATTTTTAATGTGACCTCCACAAGTCAGAGCTTAATGTGTATGCAGTCTATGCATTTAAATGACAAGATTTAATCATGGGTATGACATTCCCACAGATAAGGTGTCCTTTACCATAGAAAGAATTTTACCAGCAAATTGTAATACTGTTACTTTGGGCCTGTGAGGTGGTGACTGAAAGGTTTACATCCTCCAATAACGAAAATTACAGATGCAGGCATAATATAATGACACATGAAGAGAAGGGAGTTATAAATCTGTTATAGAATGTCCAGGGAGATTGAAGTGTTCACCTACTGCCTTTTGTATGTTACCATTCCTGATGTCCGATTTGTGTCCATTTATTCTTTTACGTAGGGACTGTCTGGTTTGGCCAATGTACATGGCAGTGGGGCACTGCTGGCACACGATGGCATATATAACATTAGTAGACGTGCAGGTGAATGAGCCCTTGATGGTGTGGCTGATGTGGTTGGGTCCTCTGATGGTGTCACTAGAATAGATATGGGAAAAGAGTAGGCAATGAGGTTTGCTACGGGGATTGGTTCCTGGGTTGGTTTTTCTGTGGTGTGGTGTGTAGTTGCTGGTGAGTATTTGCTTCAGGTTGAGAGGTTGTCTGTAAGCGAGGACTGGCCTGCCTCCCAAGGTCTGAGAGAGTGAGGGATCGTTTTAAAGGATAGGTTGTAGATCGTTGATAATGTGTTGGAGAGGTTTTAGCTGGGGGCTGTACATGATGGCCAGTGGTGTTCTGTTATTTTCCTTGTTGGGCCTGTCCTGTAGTAGGTGATTTCTGGGTACCCGTCACACTCTGTCAATCTGTTTCCTCACTTCACCAGGTGGGTATTGTAGTTTTAAGAATGCTTGATAAAGATCTTGTAGGTGTTTGTCTCTGTCTGAGAGACGGGAGCAAATTTGGTTGTATCATCCAATAACGAAGTATCTCTGATATCTTACGTCAGCATCTGTTCCTACCTATACAAAATCATACTATCTTTCTGGTGCTCTGGGAGAGTCTTGAACCACAGGATCACTAACATCCTATATAGAGAACACTATAACTGTCTAGTTACTGGAAAATTCTGACACTAAACATCTCCATTGTTACAGATAGATGAACTAAGAAAATGGAAACCTAGTAACTGGAAACTATTTAAAAGGCCTATAATGAAACAGGATTAATGTTTTTCTCCATTGCTTTGTTCAGAACAGCAACTTTTATTGTACCAAAACCAAAGCTCCTAAATCGCCCTCAGAAATAAGAATGCTGATAACTGGAGATCTGATCAAATATACATTTCTTCTGGCAAATACAGGAGGTTAAAATCCCTCTAATGTTGAATTGAGGAGGAAAAGGCTTTTAGGAGAAATATTTTCTTGACTTAAGATGCCAGAACTCAAAGTACCGTATATACTCGTTCATAAGCCGAATTTTTTTTTTTAGTAAAAAAGGGAAGCACCAGAGAAGGGGGTCGGCATAGAGGGAGCAAAGAGAGGCAGCACTGCCAGCAGAGCCAGAAGGGAAGAGGCGGGGCCAGAGTCTCTCCACTTATGGCCATGCTGCTCTCCCCCCAGCCTCTGAAGCAGCTGCAGCTCCGGGGCTGGCAGGCTGCAGCCGTGCCACTTGGCCCCGCCCCCCAGAGCGGGCTGTGGCCGCACCACCTGGTCCGCCGGAGTATGCTGCAGCCGTGCCGCCCGGCCCAGCCCACTGAAACATGCTGCGGCCGCACCACCCGGTCTGGCCCGCTGGAGCAGGGCAGCCACAGTGCCCAGCCTGCCGGAGCAGCTCCAGCTAGGCCAGATGCATCCTCCCCTGGCCCTCCCCAGATGAGGTGGGAAGGGATGGAATGGGGAGATGCATCCTCTCCTGACTCCCAGCTTCTCCCCCCGAAAAAATTTCCCTACCAGTTGCTGTCCCGGCCCATCAGGGTAAGCAGCTGGCGCGCCGGGACACTTTGTTTACTTAGGTTTACCTGCGTGCCTGCTGACACTTGAGGTAAACAAACCATCTTGGCCTTCCAGCGGCTTATCCTGATGGCCCGGGAGCCAAAGTTTGCTGACCCCTGAATTACAGGGTCGGCTTATGAATGGGTTATAAAAATTTTCCATTTTTACTTATCCATCTTGGGGAGGGTGGGGGGGGGGTCGGCTTATAAACGAACCGGCTTATGATAGAGTATATGCAGTATTTATTTAGAATATTGGGGGTGGGGGGATTGCAGCAATAATTTCAGAACTCATTTAATTATGTGGCCAGTTCACTAATTTCACTTTATTTCAAATATAGTGTAATGTAAAGGAATATAAAAGAGATCAGCTGTTGGATTGCAGCAGTTGGAAACAGACAAGACCTATAAGATTAAACCTATCTCCCTGCAAATTCCAGATATAGCCTTTCAGAGAGAACACTACATATTTATCTGATACTATACTTGATTGTAGCCAAAGTCCAGGAAAGCAACTTGCAACTGTGAATCAATAGTATCTTTTCATTTTTCTTTGGTAATTATAAACCTATATTTAATATATTTGAGTTTCACTGATTTAATGTGTGTTCTCTCTCTCTGCTAAAGTGATTAGAGGTGCAGATTCCACATGTGATTGATTCTTAAAAGTAAAGTTAATATTATAAGTAGAAACCATTTGTTCAGTCCTACTTGATATATTTTTGGGTTGGGGAAAGGGAAGAGATGTAGTAGTACACGCCCACTTAAATTTGTGTCTATGACTTGTCACATCCTCATTATATGAACATTCCTAAATACAGTGTGGAGTATTGGAAACCCATTGCCTGTGTCATTTAAAATTGGAGAAAATAATTAATATGTTGCAGGAGAACACTCTTTCACTGGTCTCAGAAAATCGATGTCTACTTAAAAAGGTCTTTTTGATCTCCAATGTCTATGATCTTAGGAGGGATAAGAGTGCACTCAGAGTGGGGCTAAACAGTGAGAAAACAGCTGAATCACATTTCAGCCAATCACAGATTCAGTTTCTGTTCTTGCCATTTGCACAAAATATATAAATTTTTACAGTTTTTTCCCCAAAATTTTACATAATTGGCAAAGAGAGAAAACTAGGGACAATATGCCTAGGGTCGGATGGATTAGATTTTTATTTGTACATGTCAATAAACATCAATTTCACCGTACACAGACAAACCAATGAAAATATATTTTCATCAATAATAATCAAAATGAACAGATAGGCAAAGTAAGAAAAATGCTGCTTGAGAACTTATTAGAGTTTGATTTAAGGATATTTACTTTCTAATATTTTGACACATGATGTTGACAACTTGTGTCTTAACAGTTAGAATCCTTTAACTTTTTGAATCTCAACATCTACTGTCATTAAATAATTATTGTCTGACTCCCCCATTATTGAGCAATTGTGAAAATTTAAATACAAATAAAGTGCTTAAAATCCATAATATTGCCCAACTGAAAAATTAAATTGATAAAAATTTAAATACATTCTTAAAAATAAAGATTGATATTACCATCAAAATTATAAATAAAATCAAATTATACCAAACCTAAATATGCCTATGCAAAGTAGGCACAAATGTTTCTATTAAAAATGGAAGCTGCCCTTCTACATGTACAATGAATATGAAACATACAGGAAAACAAAAACGTATCATGACACTCTTAAAAAGAGGGAAGCAAGCTCAGTCAACAGAGTAAATGTAAAATAGCAGAAATGTTTGTGGTGTTTAAGAGATTGTCCTTTTAAGTGAAAAAAATGTTCAAGTCTGTAAGTGTTGGTGAAAAGACTCATTTTGACAGCCCAGGAGACTGGAATCTTCTATTCATCCAGGTCAGGTACCGCCCAGGCAGCAGCAATGCAAGCTTCCCCCTAGCAGGGCCTCGCCAATGTCTCTCAACCCTGACCTGGAGGGAGCACCTCTAGGGTTGAAAGGACAGCTCAGACTGCAAAGCCCATTCAGCTGAAATTACCAATAAGGAGCACAAACTGGTGTGTGGTTTTATTATGTGGGCACCTGTCCTCTAGGAACTGGACTGAGAGCAACTAATTTCACAAAGGCCAGTGAAGAGCTTTCCAAGGATAACAACTTTAGTCCCTATTGAACTGGCCCATGTTCAAGACAATGACCTAGAGTCTAAAAGATTCTGTACCCACTAAGTCTGTGCATGTACATGTGGGTGAAGTTACTAATTAGCAATTGTTAAGAATGTCTAAATAAAAGTGTATGCAGTGTTGTAGCCATGTCAGTCCCAGGATATTAGAGAGACAAGGTGGGTGAGGTAATATCTTTTATTGGACAAACTTCTGTTGGTGAGAGACATAAGCTTTCGAGCCCCCACCATTTTACACACAGAATTACCTTTCCCAGACCTGAAGAAGAGCTCTGTGTGGCTAAAACGCTTGTCCCTCTCACCAACAGAAGTTGGTCCAACAAAAGATATTACCTCACCCACCTCATCTCTCTAAATAAAAGTGAGTTTTTCTAAGGATGCAATAGAACTATCTACGTTCTGTATTTACCCCCATCCCACAGCAACACATTTTTTTATTTTCCTTTTAAAAAGAAGACACTGAGTTATCATACATATTCAGGCTGGCCTGTGGGATAAAAATGATAGGTGAACAATTGCTCAGAGGAAAAATAAAGGAGTTATGAATTGCAAATAAATACAATTTATGCAGAAAAACTCATTCCTACTATAGATATCATGCAAATTCAACTAAAATGAGCAAAACGTGTTCTTATAATGGTCTAGTCATTGTAATTAACATCAGTTTGAGCTTCAGTCAAAAAAGTTCAGAATATTAGTTTTTGTAAAACTAATGCTGTCAACCGATCTTTTGACGCTGTTGTGCGACCTGAACAATGGCGCATCATTTCAGAATATGAATATTTACAATCTCCATGAAATTGGTTAAAATAATTCTATTTTCAAAAAGTAAACAAAAAGCAATTCTTATGTTATTTTTAAAATCCAATAATTAAATATTTCCAATAGAAAATATTAAACTTGCCAAGCAATCTAGTCCTCATTTAAGTTCCCTAAACAAGTCACAAACTATGTTAAATATCCACAAGACAACTGCCAACTTTCCCCTAAATTCTTAAGGGATTTTTAACATTAACCATTCTTAGAATATATTCAATTAGCAACAATTAATTTTAGCATCCAAATCTTGTTTAAAAATAGAACACTATGCATTTTGACTGCTGCCAATGCACAGTTCTAGCTTTTAAACTTTTTTGACGGTGCTCATAAAATCCACAGGAAAAGGGGATATTGCAACTATAATTTGCATTTGGGTGCTTTAAATCAGTCAAAAAGACAGAACATTAAGAATGGTATGGTTTTTATTTTCTGCAGCAGTTTTATTGACAAGATTTTTTTCTTGTAAAGTTTGAAAATCTAACACTACCTGTCCACATAGAAGGGGAAACAAAACTTGGTCAAAGTCTGTAGAACTTCCTGTGGAGAGAAAAAGAGATAATTTATACATCTAATGGGACCAATAAATCTAACATTAACCACAGCATATAATCTCACAATTTTGCCCTGAAGAAATAGAAGACAGATGAAGAAATATTCGTTTTATCAATTACACGGAAGGAGTACCAGGCAGTCAATCATGTGAAATAATAAACATGATCAAACTTCATTAAAAATGAAAAATTAATCAAGATTCACACATGGGTAAGCAGCAGGAGCCATCCAGCAAAGCTCCAAAGGGAAGGAGGAGGTTGGGTTGTTGAGTGTTAACACCCCTCTGGGGACAATCTCTAGCCTGACCATATGGATCATAGTGAATAACACCAAACCACATGGGTTTGGCCTGGCAGGACCGCTTCTGCTGGCACAGCTTTTGCTTGTTACCTAGGAACAGGGGTCTGTGGGATTAGAAAATGCTTCCCAACATCAATAGGGGGGGGAAAAAAAGATAAAGCCCATTGGTCTAATAGGAAATGTTAAAGAAAAATTGCGTCTATTAGTGAGAAAGCCTGAAGTGTGAATGGATTTTATCAGAATTGCTTATTTATACATTATACTTTAATAAAGAAAACAAAGCTTCAGCACTGCGTGAAGTTTTCATGTAATGTTTAATTATTAAAAATCTCATTCACTAAACAAAAGCATTGTCATGAAATTGGTAAAGGTAGAAAGGTGTGTTACAAGATTTCCAACAACTCATAGGCAAAGAAATCTCACTTAAAAATATATATATTTATATCCCTTCAAAGCTATAATTCCTTATCACAAAATCCACCACAAATGTTTACTAGTTTACTAACATTTTCCACATGCCCTTTCATTGCCTCTTCTCTTTCCTTTCATATTGGAATCTCAAAACTAGAAGATTTTTCTTTTTGCTTCAGACTGAAACAAGACTGCTTAAGGCAAATCATAGCTAATTTGATAAATAAAGGATCGATTTATAAATGAAGAACTTTGTGACCAATAATAATAAATTATCAGTGCCAACTGAATTGATGCTTCTCGCTTCATTTATTTTTAAAACCAATTCCCTCATTGAACAAATAAACCACATCAATCTAATAACCGATTCAATGAAGCAGAAAGCATATTGACTTCCTCTGTAAGAACATGTTCCTCCTACATAATTCAATTGAACATATCCCATTCTTTACTATAGTTTCAAGCTCAATTTTTCATATTGTACCCTTCCGGAGGTTTCTTGATAGCTAAAAAGGTGGTAAATTATAAACTAAGAAGAATTCATATAGGGACTGATAAGGGAAATTTCCCTTCTTGGCATATGTTTGGTAAAAATATTTTACATTTTTTTTTAAGGAAGGATTTGTTGAAAAATTCAATGCTAAGCATTCAGCTCTCCCACCCTTGCAATCTCAACAAGACACCTACAGAGAAACCACAGGTTCATGGTTGGCCCTAAGTTTTGAAAAATATTACGCATAAAATGCAACCTGTTGGTGGTATAAATAATATAGGGCTTTATTTATAAAATACTGTCCTGACTTTGCAATCTGATCCATGTAAATGGTTCCGTCTTTGTGCAGAGCCCTACTGTCTTCAAGGGACCCACCTGTGCAGATCTGATAGCAGGATCTGACCCTCCATTTGCTACCTTGCTTATGCATAAAAAGCCCCATGACTTCCAAATCTAAATCTTGCACATTTGCCCTAAATCTTACACAAAGCCCATATCCATTACATGAAGTATAGCAAACTGAAATGGAGTGGTGATAGGTTCAAAACTACAATGGCTGGGGACTAGGCTGCCTGTATATTTATTGGCCTTATTAATTAATTTAAAAATTCTGCTTGGCATAATGACTGCATTTGCAAAACTACTATTTTTAAGCACAAGAACACTGCAAGGTTGCTAGAGGGAATTTTAATATACAGCAGTGTTAAAAGATAATAGGCCAGCCTTTTTAAACAGCTCATCATAGTTATCCTAATATGGTAGAATATATTACTTTCTATTACCATGCTGAAATAAGATTTAATATTTGTTATACTTGCAAGTACAAATATCCACATAATAAAATAACACATTTGTAACATACACTTTACCATACTATCAGCATTGTGTTACTAGAGGGGCAATGCAACACAAATAATTCAGAACCTAATTTGCACTTCCTTCTTGATATTACATATCTTCCAAAGCACAGAATTAAAATTGAAATCTCACTTGTTAGAAAATGTGCCCAATCTGCATTGGCATATGTCATCATCATCCTTGTGTGGCTTTATAATAATAATCTAACTCTTACAGAATTTTGAAGCCATAGATCTCAAGGTTTACTGGGTATAAAAGATACATCCTGTTGCACATTACATAACATATGCATTTCTCTTAGTTTACAGTTTGGGGGTGAGGACTGCCCACTAACAGGTTTAAATTTAAAAATACACAGATAAACTCTTTAAAAAACATATCTTCATAATTAATGAAGTTATCTAAAATAGTTTTGCATTCCTAAAACAATGGTTATCCAGGTGCAAAGAGTAAGAACATTAAAAGAATTCTCAAAATTTTGCTCTGAGTTACGTATTAATTACTGTACATTTATTAGTGTGTATTTTGTACATTGCTCTGTTTAAATGTCAGCAATGCTCATGTGAAAATAAATTCCCATAAGAGTTGTTTTGGGTGTATGACTATTTGTGGCAGAACCATAGGAGGACCAAAATCTCTTTAAGATCCCACTAGGCTACTGTAAAAAGTATTAAGACAAAACTAACATTTTTTCTAATACTTGCTTTGCTTTATAATTTCTTTTAAGTTGACACGCAAGGCAATAGAGGTGGTATCAATAGCCTTGTTTTCTTACTATACCTCCTCACATCTATGTTCTAATAGAAAAACTGCTTAAACATTTCCTTTTCCCTCCACAACAATCACCACCACCCAAGATCTAAAAAAAATACAGACTGGATAAAATGTAAATGACTCAATAGCTGAAACCAAGGTCTCAAGGGCATCAGGTGCCAGTTTTCTGGATCAATTCCCAAGTATATATTTTCACAATTCTTTTTATATGCAGTTTGATTTTTAACATTTTAATGAGGAAAAAGTGCATCTATAGCAGCCAGTCACCACAGTTAAAGTGCAGGGCATGAACTGTGTCCCATGAGGGATTCAGCCTAGCTGTGTCACCACTGGCTTTAGGACATACACCACCTGGTTCCATGTCCCCAGGTTCCAACTCTTTTCATAATCAAAACACTGCTGACATTATAAACCCCATACGGTTTTTCTAAAATCCTCCCCAATCAATATAGCCTACACACAACTTATCGGAGACAACACAGAGCTCATTGATTAAGTTTGGTTTCAGAAGCAAAGTTTCAAAATAAATGAGACAAGGATACAGCATTCAGCCCTTTTGTACTACAGGACAATTTATGAAGGAGGCAGTCTCTGAACCTACCCCCAACCCAAGTAATACTTAAAGGTATATGGGAAGTAAGGGTTATTAGACATTCAAACATGTATTTGTTCAATATACAGAGTCTATGCTTGTATTTTACACTATTCAATGTAGTAAGATGAAGTGTCTTACATGCAATGAGTTGGAATTTGCTGACAAAAATACTTGTTTGATCACCTGTGAATTTAGTATATACTTACTGCATACTGTACATTGACTCAGACATTTTTTAAATCCTTATTTGTATGCTCACTTTTAACATTCCTTGCTTCTTGACCAGGAGAGAAGGCAGGCAGCTCTCTGGCGGAAGGAACACTGACACTTCCCAGACTAGTATAGAGCACTCCAGTCTCCCTTCCAGCATTCAACTTCTCAACCATTAGATGACAAATTTATAATTTTATCCATCACAGTCCTATCTGGAAGGGAAACTTTGAAGGCTGAATTCAATTAAGTTAATTGGAATAATTAATAATGAGACTGATCATTTCATACAGGTTGTGTGCATATGCACGGGGAAGGGGTTAGAAGAGAATCCTGCAAAGACAATCACAGGTAGCATAACTACCTTACATTTCTGTAGCGTCTTTTCCCAGAGTCAATGCTAAAGCTTTACAAACAGACCTAACTCCTTTATTTCCTCTGTTCAAATGAAATCTAAACAAAATTGTATTTTGTAGCTAAAAACTACCAAACTAATCTGCAGTGAGAAAACTGTGCTTTACTAACAGTCACTATGTCTTTACAACAGGATTAATGCTTTAGAAGATTTCAGGCAAGTTCTCAAGTGGTGTTAATACTGTTGAGAAAAAACATTCACAGATCAACACTTAAAAGGACACCACTGTAATGAACAAAACAACAAGGTGAAAGGAATTTCCAAGTTAATGTTGAAACTTTGTTTTTAAATTGCTACCCTGTGCTTACTCATTGAATGGGTCTCTGAGCAGTATGTGACGCTACATACTGGTACACCTCTACCCCGATATAACGCGACCCGATATAACATGAATTCTGATATAACGCGGTAAAGCAGTGCTCCAGGGGGGCAGGGCTGCGCACTCCGGCGGATCAAAACAAGTTCAAAATAACGTGGTTTCACCTATAACGTGGTAAGATTTTTTGGCTCCCGAGGACAGCGTTATATCGAGGTAGAGGTGTACCATGTGTGCTGCTCAAGCTGTAGTGATCTAAACAGGGATTTCAACATTAACTCTGTATTTCTTAGATTGTGTCAGGAAAGATTTTGATTCAACTTTTAAGTGGGATTATACATAAGGAGAGGGTGGAAACATAAAATAACACCAAATAATAGTGAAAAGGGCAGAGTGTGTTCAATAACCAGGACAAACCATAGTGAAATCGCTAATGTCTAAAAAAAAATTAAGGTAGATTTAATTAATGGATCATAATGGCTTTAATAAAACCATTATGTCTACCCAATACATTTGTATTGTGGTATCATGCACATGTAAACATCTCACCACAACAATTTCTAGTTATATTTATCTGAATTTAAAAACTTTTGAGAGATAAGTTTTAATACAA